CCCCTGATCTGTGCTAGATACCTTCTGTACTTTGAGATCATCCTCTTCTTGGTAGACGTGAAATTAGCCCATCAATTCCTAAATCAAGAGATGGGATTTTTTTTTTAAATAACAAATTTCTAACCACCTCATTTAAATAGGAAGGGGCATTTACTTTCCACAAGAAAGCCTCCATTTTCTTCCCCCCTTCAAAGGGCAAGCACATCCTGGCCAGTTTATAATGGGGGAGGGGAGGAGGAGAGGAGGGCATCTTGCCAAACAATTTAGCCTGCAACCTCGAGATCCCCGAATAGAAATAAGCAAAAATAATGGGTTGGATCATATTTATCATACACCACCTCAATTCTTAAATCCAAATGGAAGCTGTTTTAATTGTGGATTGACAAGGGAGCAGATATTAACTGGGAAATATCTATATAGGTAGTCCTTACAATCACAATTGAGGCCAAAATTTAGGTTCCTGAGAAATTTGTCAAGTGACTTTTGTCCCACTTTACGACTTTTCTTGCCACACTGAATCACTGCAGTTGTTAAATTAATAACAAGTTGTTTGTTAGGTGGATCTGGCTTCCCCATTGACTTTGCTTGTCAGAAGGTTGCAAAAGGTGATCACATGATCCTAGGGACACTGCAGACACTGCAACCATGATAAGTGTGAGTCAGTTGTCAAGCATCTGAATGTAAATCACGTGACCATGGGGGATGCTGCAATGGTCGTAAGTGTAAAAAACTGAAAGTGAAAAGTCACTTTTTGCCTTTGTAACTTTGAAGGATCACTAAATGAGTAAATTTGAGGACTACCCTAAGTGGGCAAGAATTTCTGAATATCCCCTGACTGATCAGTATTCTGGACAATTAAATCCTCCAAGCAGGAAACTTTCAGAACTGTGCAAATCTTTCAAAACAGATGTTTCAGAAGACATGGCAGATATATGAAAAAAAACTCTTTAAATTATTAAAATGTTTCCAAACTGCTGCTTCTGGCTATCTTCACATGCCTGTTCATGCCTAGCCATTTCATTCTATGCAAGCCTTAAAAAAAAAGATGCAGTTGCTTTAACAAGCCAAATATTGGGGCGCCTCATGCCCTCTTGCATATTTCAAAGCACCACTTTCAAAGGATTACACAAACTGCAACATAATGTCACCTCTAACATTGCCAAACTAGTTCTACATATTAATGTAGCAGGATAGCTGATACAATAACAGGTATCAGCAGAACAACTGTCCCAACACTGATAGGAACTCAGAATTGGCAGAATGTTTGAGACAACTTCTTGTTAGTAAAATGGAATTCTTACACACCAACAATGATTTGCTCCCAGCCCAGATTCCCAACCTTGCTGTCCAAATCTAGCCTGCTACATCACAGAGAACTCTGGAGAAATGGGAAAGATGAATCACTCTCTACCTTCAAGTTTATTTATTATTATAAAACTCCTATGCCACCCATCTGGCAGAGACGATTCTACATGGAGTTAAGTCTCCATTATATGGGTATATACAGGTTGGAGTTACCATTCAGCATTAAATGGTGGTTGGTACATATTTTACCAACAATTGACTTGGCATTCAAAAAGAGAGATCTGTGACACAGACGGTCGACTTTCATAGGAATGTAGACTTCCTTGGTTAGATGTTTAGGAAAGGAGGCCAACCAGCAGCCTGTCTTTATTTTCCTGCAATGGCCAGGTTGGAAACTCTCCCATATGCCCAAATTTGTCCTTCCACTTATACTTGCTCCTGAGCGATTTTCTGTTCTGTTCAACTCAGACACATTCCTCAACAGTGGCTCCAGTAACATCAGCCACACAAGCAGTTTGTCAGTAAATAGGCACCCTCTTCCTGCACACGTACAGGCTGCAGTGTGGCGCCCTTAATCCTTGAGGTTGCCCCTTTGTGGACATGCAGCACTGAATGCAATTTGCTGGCACAGGACAACCAGAACCCCACATCAGAACAACCAGTAATATAAAGATGGAAAAACAGGGACTCTGCAGAGATGCCAAAAAACTTCCAACAAAGCACCAGCCAAGGATAGCTGTTAGTCTGTTTCAGAAAAGGGGGCCTCAAATAGTGACCTAGGCAGACAAGGGGGCAAGTTTACTTGCTTATAGAGTTTCAGTCTCCCTCTAGTCAGATAATGCTCTTCCTTTACTCCTAGAGATGCCTACAAGCTGCTCATGGCTTCTTCCTTTCCTTGTCTGCTCTTCTCTCCCCCCTCCCCACTTTAGGGCCCCTTTTCCCTCTATCATTTGTAACCCATTTGTGCAGTAATGGAGGTGAAATCAGCCTGTATTGCTGAACAAAATAATTTTACTCGGTACCACCCTTTCATTTCAGATGCAGGAAATTTCTGCAGGAAATCACCAGGAAGAATTCATTATGCTTATTTGCAAATGCATATATATTAGGAAGAATTCATAAGATGCTTTTTTTCAAATTATCTTTAGATATCTAAACACAGTATATTAGTAATGCTCATACGCATTTCAATGTTCTTCTATATAATTATTTTTCTTGCTTACTGAATTCTATAAGCATGTGTCAAACTCATTAATTTTGTGTCTTACAAAATTATTAGCTTTCATTACTCTTCATATCTAGCTTAGTAGACAGAACTTTAAATTTTAATCTGACATCATAAGGAGGTTCAAATACACTTCTTTTTCCAAAGAATTATTGGAAATTGTATCATTTGAATGGTTTACCTATGCACACACACACACACATATGCAAATTCAAATTACCTTCTGTGAAAAATTCTGACTAGAATGTTTAAAGCCCTGCTATCTTTTGCCTAAAAAAGCAAGAGTTGTTTCAACTAGGAAGTAGCAAAAATACATATGTACAGAAAACTATCTAACTTGCTATAGTTTTACAGTCCAAATCTGTAAAAATGGATTGATCATGACTTGTACACATTTATCTTAGATTTAAAAAATAGTACTTGCCCAGAGACTTGTAGGTGAAAGGGAAATGTAGAAATCAAGCTTTTTAAAAAAAAAATAAAAATCCAAGTCTACACAATTACATAGCTTCTATTTAATTATTAGAACCTATCAATAACCACAATAACCAATGCAAGTGTGCATGGAACAGACTGAGAAGATTTGTTCTCCAGACTTTACCACTGCAATCTACCCCCACCCCCCAATATTTTGATTTTACTTTTTTAAAAATCTGTGAACATATAAACACAGAAGCCAAAAGCTTACGCAGTACTTTCAACATGACAATGTTTGAGTAATCAAATTACAAGTATCTTTTACATAAATGTTATTTTAACAGATTTTTAGGAGTTTGATTTTCAGGTATAATGTGAATCCACATATACATTCAGCATCTACATATATACAAATATATATGGAGAACTTAAAAAAGGGAAAGGAGAAAAAATTGGAAGGGCCAGGTGGCATTAGAAATCAGCACTGAAAAATCTATGAGGATTGTAGATTAAATCAAACAAATTTATGTAAATGAAAAATCTAGTATTTATTTCAGAGTTATTCTCCATATTTATAGTTAAATTAATATTAATTTTGTTTCAAGATGCCATATTACTATTCAGGAAGTGATATTAATTTTGTTACAAGATGGGAAAAGCAAAGTAAATATTTTGAGTAGCAGTAACAGCAATTATTTCACCAGTTATTCTAGAACATTTCCACTGAATTCAGTGAAAGTATTGCTTCAGAAGATATTTTTAAACCTGAAGGTATTAGTTTTTATTACCTTGTTCTATTGCATCCCCATCAACTAAATAATAATAATAATAATAATAATAATAATAATAATAATAATAAATAAATAAATAAAAAACCCACAACAGATCACCTTAAAATTTTGCTCAAACCAGAAAAAAAAATGAAAGCAAACTTGACACACAACAAAAAATATATGTCTCTGTTTGCTAGGAAATCCCCAAAAGTAATAACAGATGTATTCACATGAAACATTATTGAAGTTTTGCAGATATACCCAATCAAAGCCCAGGTCTTCCTACACTCAACGAAGGATTTAAAATAAAATTAAAAAAATCTTTTAACAACATGCACAGGAATTTCAGGAATTTGTATCTGTTTCATTTCCCTCCTGAGCCAACTATGTGATAGTACAAATAAAAATTTAATTCTTGATTTTTAGTTCTTAATCAAAGGACAGAAAAGAAAGTGAAAGGCACACATGTGTAGCAGTCAAATATAGCTAACTGAATTAACTCTTTTATGCTGTTATTTGTTTTTACAGTCATAATAGCCTTGTACATGGTAAAGGAATCATGCCTTTATTTGTACATAAATATTTATGACACCACCTTTTATATTTGCATTTCTAAACTTGGAAGCCTTAAAGACTTTAGTAGCTTTGTTGCTCTAGAGGTCTAGAAAATATATTTTCCTCTCACAGATTATCACATGCTGAACATAAATTAGGCTTTGATATGTTATTTTCTACAATATGAGATGCATTTGTTCCAAATAGCAGACCAAGACAAGTACTATTTATAACTTCATTGTATCATCACAAAAAGTAACACTATTTAATGTTTTCTTTCTAAGTAGGTTCTACTTTTTGTATAGATTCTTTAAGTTCAAATCAACACACACAGAATTGCAGGGTTTACACCTGATTTTCTCTCTCCTATTTTAATAAAGAGTGATCTTATCGGTTGACTAATAGATTACAAAATTCCTCTAGAATTACACTGGAAGCCAAAAAAAAAAAAAAAAAAGAGCAAGGCTTCATACTACAACGTTGTGTTGAGAAGGTACCTTATTAGCTTTTATTAACTATAAGGTACCTTCTCAATACACCGATTTCAATGGGACTGTTGTTGTTGCCATCTGAAATTAGTTCCTAACAGAGCAGGCACAATAGCCATTTATGCAAACAACGTTTAGATCATATGAAACAGAAACAATCTTAAACGGAACTAGGATTTCTTAAATTTTAGCGAAAACGCAGCGAAATGAGCATTTAAGTAACAAAAAGTGGCTTACTTGGTGTACAAAGACATCCACCGGAGACTCCAACGGGCTTCCCTCGCGGTTGAGCATGGAAATAAATCCGAATCCCATTCGCACATTAAACCACTTGCAATGGCCCGTTCCGTGCAAAACCTGGGATTTCTCCTCCTCCTCCTCCTCTTCTTCTTCCTCCTCTTCTTGTTCAGGCAATTTCCCGGGTTCATCTCCACTTTTACGCGCCCCCGCTGATTTGGAGAGGGATGGCGGAAAAAAACCAAGAAACTAAGTAAATATACAGTGTGCGCGACACACTTCTCTCTCTCTCTCTCTCTCTTTACACACAGGCAGAGAATTAAATTCTAGTAACATCGCCTTGGCGGCTGCACAAGAGCGATTGCTACAGAAGAGGACGGAAAAGCACACGCAAACGCACGTTCGGCGTTACGAAATCGAGTCTATTTTCCTTCCCTTCCCTTCCGACCCCTCCCCCCCCCACAAACACGAACATTTTTAAAACCCCACCAACATTTCAAGCGCACCCACGCCCAGATCTCGTAGGAGGAGGAAATAAAAAAAACTGCATTTCGCAAGAAAAATAAAGCATCGCCGAAGGAAAAGGCAGCATCTGCTGTGACTCAGGCTATTATTTTTCATACGCTCCCCGCCACACGCACAAACAGTAGCAGCAGCAGCCGCCGCAAGCAGCAAAGCAGCAAGCAGCAGCCCAGCCCACCCCACGTTGTCCTGTACATACGTGCGATCCTGCCCTTTAACTCCATCTTTCAGCCACATAAACCACCCCAGAAAACGATACTTTACTTGGATACTGCTGGTTGAGCACCGATCCCATCCCTCCCCAGAGGAATTCGCAGGCGAATGAGTCTCGGCTGGCGAGGGAGGGAGGGAGGGAGCGAGCGAGCGAGCGAGCGAGGAGAGGCGGGGAGGGGGCGACCGAGCCGAGGGAGAAGGCGATTGCACAACCGCTTGGAACAGCCCATCCAGCGGCCGCGAGCGCCGGGTGTTATTTTCCAACTGCGCTCGCTTCTCTCGCGCTCTTCCTCCGGCAAACCCCCCTCCCCTTTCTCGAACGCTGGAATGACTCTCTGCCAGAGCCGAATGGAGCCGGGCGGCGGTGGGGGGGGGAGGAGGAGGAGGAGGAGGGGGGGAAAGGAGGGGGGGGAGGGCAGGTGTATAAAAGTTTCCCCTTCCCCTTTCTGCCTTCAGCGGCTACTTGCTTGCTCAATCACGCCGGGAACAATGGTCCCTCTCTGAACGCTTTTCAACTTGGGTGAATCGGGGTGGGCGGCGCAGAGCAACACGGAGGGAGAGCTTCTCGGCCACAATAGGATTCTTTCCCCCCCCTTTTTCCCCCCCCCAGTCTCCCATTTCATGGCTGTGGTGGGCGTTCTTTTTTTTTTTTTCCTCCCTCTTAAACGAACTGTCCAAATTAAAGGGCTCTTTTTTAAAATAAATAAATAAATTAAAAAAAAAAAAGGACGGGAGAGGAAAGGGAAAGTAAGGCGATGTTTAAAAGGAAAAAAAAAAAGCAACCCAAGAAGGGATGGGGGGGGGGGAGAATAACCTTCGGCCATGTTGCTTTACAGGCCCCGTGTTCCAAAGTAGCGAGGCGGAAAGTACCCCCCTCACACACACACACCGCCTTCCTGGTTGGGAGAAGCGGTCTCGGGAATTAGCTTTTAACATCTTGATTTTTTTTATTTTTTTTTTGAGCGATTCCCCGCTTTGGCTGTCTGGTTCCTGCTCTTTTTTTTTTTTCTTTTTTGGGAGCTTGCGCTGCCCCGCCCCCCGCCCCCCCACCGCCCGGGCCAAGCGCTCTCCATGCTGGGATTCTGGGCCCCCGTTGCACGTGACTCGCTCAATTACATGCCTTCTTACTACTAATTTCACCTCGGGTCTTCCGAGTTGGGGGGGTGGTGGTGGGGGGTGGGGTGGGGAAAGGCTGGCAAAAAGGACTAGCCAATCGGCACTTCCAACGGCCCTGACACGCCGGACTCATTTACGAATCAACAAGGAAATTTGAAAATCCGCTCCCCGTGCCACGAGTTGGCACGTTTGCTCTACGTAGATCCGTCTGACGCTCGTGAAGGGTGGGGAATTCTTTGTCGGAACACACAGCCCCGCCAAGCCTGCCTGCGCTGCCTTAGCACAGGCGGCGTACAGCGTTCTCCGGAGCGAAAGCCTAAATATATATATATATATGAGGACCCGCGTGCAAAGTAATCTCGTAACGGTGGAAACCCGGGAGGTGGAAAGCGCCGCTCTTAAAAGGAGCTCTGAAACTGATCCACAAATCAGGCGATGGCGCTTACCTAAATGGCAATCGGCGGGTTTGTTTTAAGTTAACTTGGCATAATTTCTGTGTTTTTAAACGGGCTGGCTTGGAAGTGGCTTTAAGATCTTTGTGTGAGCGTGCCGGTCGCGTCCCGCTGGAACCGGTGGTGGCCAGAAATAGGGGGCGCAGTCTTGCGTCTTCCTGCACACATTTACCTGAAAGTAAGCCGCCTTCCTTTCCAGTGACCGCGCGCAGAAATTGGCTGCAGAGGCCTGCGCTCACCCCCACCTCCACCCCGCCAAAGTAAATATATCTGAACTTCACGGATCTTACTACTATGTGAGTGTATCTACGACTGTAATCTTGCAGAATTGGTAATGAATCAATAAGACCATCAAGTCCACTCCCCTTGCTCGGTGCAGGAATCCAAATTAAATGGATCTCACACGAACGGATGGCGAGACTTCTTGGCGACGCATCCTGTGAATAAGAGCCCCTCTGTTTAATTATTAGGATTTCCCCACCCCACCCCCATTTTAATTCGGAATTTGCTTTCCAGAAACTTAAGATCTATTATTGGGGGTCCCGCTCTCTTTACGATAATAGCCATCTTCCGCTTGAACCGCATTGCAATGTGCCATTTTATTCCCCTCTCAGTCGAATGTTTTGTGGAAGGGAAAGGAGAAAAAAAAAATCTTGTCTCTTTGTGGAATATCATCAGAGAATGAAACACAGCAGGGAAGCCTCTTTTGATAACAGGGTGACATTACTAAAATGCACAAACTGTTCGAACGATTAAGCGAGCATGAAAATACGCGCTGCATTCTTTGCAGAACTAATATTCTGAAGGTGCTTATTTATGGTCCTGCCTTGTGTAGGCTCGGTCGATGCAAGCCTGTTCGGGACCAAAGTCCGCCTTTCCCCGGGTCTGTATGTACCCTGTCCATTATGGAAGCCTACCGGAAACGCGGTGTCATCTCAATTCGGTTCAGGAGGCGAGGCAGCCGAGCGTTTTCAAAGCCTTTGGGGAAGCGGTGCGCGGGGGTGGGTGAGTGGCGGAGGGAGCGGGATGGCGCTTCACAGGTTCCACCGCCGTCTTCTCATTCCGGGGGAGGGGAGGTGATTAATGACTTCCTAAATAAAGAGGTCAGTTTGCAAGCTCAGCGTTCAACGAACCTCCCTCGGCAACGATTGTTCTCCAGGAGGCGGGAGAATGGAGGAAGAGAGACTGGAAGGGCTAAACGAGAATTTGCCAGGGAAGAGGAAACACCGGAGTGGCGGCAGGAGGAGAGGCGGAAAACAAAGACTGGAGGGGATGAAACTGGCTCAGAAGTTGCTGTTGAATCGGTCCGCTTCTAGACAGCCGGCAGTCGCTCGGACTGTTATCCCGTCCAGGCTTTACCTGCGAGTCCGGTCACCCTACAGTGGAACTGACATTTTAATAGACCCGCGCACCAATTACACGGAGAGAAACCGACCATCTACCCAAAGAGCTCCAGATTCATCAGCGGAATCCTCAGGGCGACACACAGGCGGAGGGATCAAGCTTGAGGGGCGTTAATGACAAGTGCACGCCGCTGCCTCTGTGACGCTACCGGGAATCCGGGTAGCTCAGTCTTGGGCGCGTTCACCTTGAGTGGCAGCCCAGCGACTCTTACTTCCATGCGAGCTTTCCCAGTCCTTTGCCGCTGGACTGAAGTGGCGCCCGATCCTTTGAGGACCGCTTGCTTAGGAGTCCCGCTGATTAGCATTGTGCTTGGGATCGCTCGCTTTCTAATGCGTAGCTGGGTATGCACTTATGAAAAGCACGTGTCCTGTATCCCATTGGAAAGGATACCAACAGGATCAATCCCAACATATCAGTTTCGGCCTCCCTTGAAAATACCCGCCGCCTTTCAACATTTTGCAAGGTCGAGGCAGGTTCTGCCACCCACCCACTCCCTCCCCCCATCCCTCCCGCCGTGCTGCAATTTGCCCTGGATGTTCGGGTTTTCTTTCACCAACGGAATCACAAGGTTGTCCGTTGTTGGTTTAAACCTGGCGACAGGCAGTCTGAACAAACAGTGAAAGGCCCTCCAGATTAACTAAAGGGGCCTGTTTACTCCCGGGTTAGAGCGTGTTTGTTGCAGGGAGAGGAAAAGGTGCAAGCCTCTTTTCCTTGCGCCCTGTTTTAAGTGGGCAGGGTACTTTCCTGCCGCGACGACATCTCCACGCGTTAATTTCCTAGCGATGCCAATGGGGTTGTTCTCTTTTTTTGGTGTAGGGGAGGAGGGCTGAAGTTCTCTACGGCTACATTCCTCTGGGTACCTTCAACTATCAGCTCCCCATTGGTGATTCCGGTGCTGGAGGTCGTCTTGCTCAGATCTCGCTCCTCCTCCTCCTCCTCCTCCTCCCGTCCTCCTCGCTCCATCTCCGGCGCAGCTTTTCACGCAACTAAAAGAGCGCGCAGAAAAGCCGGGAGGGGGGGAGAGGAGGAAGAGAGAAGCGCTAAATGGCGCAGAATCTGTGGCGCCTCCTTCTGAGGCTCGGGATCGGGGCGCAGGTCTCAGCCCAGCCTCGGGAAGGTTTGCTTTAGAAATAAATGCCTTCGGAGTTCCACCGGGACTTCCTTCCAAATCAGCCCAGAGAGAAGCGAATCTTTTAATTCGAAGGAAGAGCTATTTGAGACCGGAGGACAGCAAGAGATTTTCCTAAAAAGGTGAGGCGGAGAAACCGACAACTAAAACGCTTTTACTTAACCAGAAATAGAGGACCGAACTCAAATGTCTTCCTATTACCAGGGACTGGGTGCTGAAATTGGAAAGGAAGGACGTCTCCCCTCCCCTTTCTTTACCAATGAGAATAAACAGCCTTCAAGGGATTTGGGAGAACCAAAAAATTAACAAGGTGGCGGAACATGCTTTTGAGGGATGTAGTCCGTCCAAATACGGGACTGTTTCTTGCTGCAGCTCCAGCAGTTGTGGCTTCTCTTCGGTTTAAGCAATTCCACGGCTGCCTGAAACCCTGCGCAACGAATTAAGTATTTGGCTTCTGCCTTTTCAGAACGAAGAGGCATTTTGCCTTAACCCCCATCCCCATGTAAAATGGATTCGCAAGTTTGACAGTGGGGGAGGCCACATGCCTGGATCCCTCTTTGAGGTTTTGCCTTATTCATTCACCTCGTGTGATGGTCGGTTCTTACACGCGACTGTTCAATTTTCTCCTAGACCTCTAAAAACCGAGACAATGCGAGAAAAGCATCATTATCGTACACAAAAATACAGCGTTCCTTAGCAACTGAAGTTTATGAAATGTCAAGTAGCATTCTGCGTAGTATCTGTTATAAGTCTAAAAGAACATTCACTGTGGAGAAAAAGCTGGCAAAAAATGGAAGTGTGTGTGTGTGTGTGTGTGTGTACCATCCTTCTATTAATACACCCGTCCGTAAGAGTTTATATGCTGGCAGGAGGCTAGAAACGCAATGCCTCCGCCGATAAGTGTAGGAGGTGAAAGTCTTAAGAAGGCAGAATAAACTTGTTAGCTCCCTCCCGTTCCGAAAAATAAAGATATGCGACTTTTGGTTTGGAGCGTATGGTTCGGTTTTGCAGAGGCTTTACTTAAGTGGTGTTTTGGGCTGTTTTTTTTTTTTTTTCAAGTTGAGAAATACCGTAAATCGATTACAGTATTGAAGACGCTGTCAAATATGAAAGTCGCTAGGGTAGAACTGGCTGCAGGCGGTTTGGTTGTACAGTATTTAAAAAAAATGCGGGTTTTCAAATGACTGCTTACCTGCCTTAAAATTTGAAAGCCTCCAATATTAGCAGAATTAAGGTTGAGAGCCAACGGCCTGACCCAACAGTGCCAGATGTTTTCGGCTCACCCGTTTTCATTTCCTGCAAAAACACCAGGGTCCCTCTCCTCACCACAAACTCAGCGTGCGTGCGTGCTGGGAAAGGGCGACAATATCAACACCCCAAAAGCGCTGCCCCGATTTTGCGGATTTGGACGACATGAGGAAGGCCTCTTCTTCCTTCAAAAAGTCGAAGAGTCGGCGATTCAGGCGTGAAGGTTTCGTTTCCGACGACCTCTGCGTTCTGCTTCCCAGGCAAAGCGCGAACAATTTCGGACAATCCGGGCGAAACCCCCGAAGCACGACAGGCGAAACAACGGCTCGGCGGCCTCGGTGTGACATCAAGGGCGCGAATTAAAGGTTGGGGACGTGGGGGGGGGGGGGGGGGAGAAAGCCGCCTTATTCCAAAAAACCAAAACAAAACCAGAGATTCGAGATTCTGCACTCCTGACGCTCGGGCTATTATGATA